TAGTGACTGGAACCAAGGAGGTGGCAGGCCAAAATGGACTAAAAAGGAAAGATAAGGAAAACATTCACACAGGAGAAACAGCAGGAGGTGGCATGGTCCTAATATAGCCTGAGGATGAGGGTAAGTGGTAGATGATGCCCAGGCATCAGCTCAAAACACTAGGAGGGCAACAGTGCCCATCCACAAAAGGAAAAACCCAAGGGCAAGCATGTGTCAGTGCTCAGCCTGGGACATCCTACCCTTTAGGTCTCTGTGGGACACCCTCATGTCATGTCTTCAAGACAGTTAAAGAGAGAGACAGAACCTGGAGATTTCCACTAGGGAGTCGTGACATGGAAAGATGATGAAAGTCAAAGGCAGCCAAGAAGATCTCATATGAGAACACATCGGGAAGAGAGCTCTCAAGAAAAGCAACAGTGAAAAGACAAGTTGAAGGAAATGAGCCCACAAAACATAGTAAGAGGAACAGCCAGAGACGGAGGGTGTACACAGTGAAAAGTGAAAGACGAACTTATGTTAAGAAGGAGGAAGTTGTCAGCTGTGTCACCTGCTTCTGGGAAGCGAAATAAAGTAAGAACCCAAACGAATCCATCAGGCAATGGATCACTGGTGTTTCTGGAGAGAGCTGTATATTGGCAATATGGGTACAGAAGAGAGCCTATGATGGCGTAGGGTAAATGTGCACCAACAATTCTTTCAAGAGAGGAGGACACATCAAGGGAGATGTATAGTTAGGGGGTGTTTTTAAGATGGGAGAGACTTAAAAGTGTTTCCATGCAAGTGGGAAGGAGCTAGTAGGATAACTAAGATCATCAATGAAGGTGAAGAGAAGAGGTGATTGAAAGAGTGAGGTACAAGGGAGTGGCATTCAGAGCCAGGAGAATGAATCGATCTTTGGGAAAAATGGGATCAGAAAAGGCACAGTCGTAGGAGGGAAATTCAGAAGCAATACAAAAAGCAAAGCCAGAATTTTCATCATCAATCAATCAGCAGTCAAACAAGGAATGTACCTGGGAGCAGAGTCTCCTTGTCACTCATGTTTCGCTCTAAACACAGCCGCTTAGCACAGCGGACTAGAGCACAGGGCTCTAATCAACAGAAAAGGAAGAGAAATCCACAGCTCTACCCCAGGACTACACTGTAACTTCTAAAAAACCAATTGACTTCACTCAATTTTGAATGAAAACATACACATTTACTAGTTTCATATGATCAATCTAAAATGAAGCTCGCTTCTATTAAAGATGGACCACACGATGTCGAGAGAACCTAATTCCAATTATTTGTTAAGTGACTATCTTCAAGGGCTGTCTCAGGAGAATAAGAACAATTTCTTACATTTGAGTAGAGCTTGGCCAGTAATCACTCTGCCGCATCTAGAATGTGAAGGGAAACTGTTTAAAGTACAGATCCCTAGAGCCCATCCTGAGATTAAGTTTCACTACATCTGGGTCGGAGCCTGGGAATCTGTGTTTGTATCAAAGTCCTGGATGATGCCAGAGGACCATTTGGAAACCCAGTGCTATACACCACAGAGCAAACCTTCTTGTACATCATGTAATTGAGAACATACTCCAGGTGTCAGAGTACTCAGGTTGTTGAAAACTAAAACAAACAGTGTCAGCTCAGTAAGTGAAACAGTGATCATGGTTCATGCAGGCAGTCAGATAAGATGAATCTATCAGGTATCCACTATGCACTAAACTTCATGCCAAGTAAAGGGACTACAGATTTGAACTAGATTATTTGAATTATTCCCCAAATAATTCTTAGTCTCCCTAAGGAAGAAAGAGAAGAAAATCAACCAATGATATAAATTTGATTTCATAAGTGTTTCAACACATGTGACACATCTCATGACCAATATGTACAATGGGAGCATAAAAGATAGTCTCCTTTAGAATGGTGAGGGGACAGACATGTGAGAAAGACTTGAAAAGATTATAAATTTTGAGTCAAAGCTGGATGAGGAAGCTGGGGAAAGACATTTTGGACAGGAGGCAGCAGTGCTAATAGTGACCCAGGGCTACCCAGGGCTCCACCATCATTACCACGTAGAAGTGGACCCATGCAAAAGGCATGTACTCTTCTAAAATCTATAGAGAACACAGTGGAGAGATTCATACTGGGTTGAGACATCTTTGTATAAACCATGTACAGCAAAATGCTAAACCCACAAGTGCTAAAGGTTTTACCCAGGGGATATTCATTGATTCTTTACTGGCAAAATAATAAGAAGCCATGAAAGATACTTTAAGCTCCTGCTGGTGGCTCATATGGCAAAGGATCTGCCTGCAGTGCAGAAGATCTGGGTTCGATCCCTGGGTCAGGAAGATCCCTTGGAGAAGGGAATGGCAACCTACTCCAGTATTCTTGCCTGGAGAATCCCACAGACAGAGGAGCCTGACAGGATATAGTGCACAGACTCACAAAGAGTCAGACACGACTGAGCAATGAACACTTTCTTTCAAAGATATCTTAATAAGAACATCCAGTGATAGGAAGAAACTCAGAAAATGTGGAAAGCAAAGTCGGAAGAGTTCACTTAAGAAGAAAAGGAAAGTCAGAATGTCAGTGCATGAAAGGAGATTAAGGGGGAGCAGGTTACTAGGAATCCCTTTAGCCTTAGTTGCTATTTTTGTGGTCCAAAAAAAAAGTAGAAGGCAGGGAAGATATTTAGAAAGATGAATAAGTTAGTCACAAGGAGGTGAATGAAAATTTAGAGAAAAAAGTAGTAGGGAGACATGGGGTAGTACCTAGAAGAGACAGATACATCCATTATGGATTTCTTTGAATTCTGGGTAGGTGACGATGCTGTGATCCTTCAAGAATTCCATTATTGGAAAGCCTACCTCAACAGTGAGGACAGACACTAAGAGAGAAGGGGCGGGGGATGGGATATTTGGTGCTCTAAAATAGAAACTACAGACCAGGACAGGCTATTCGCTGTCACAAATAGCCACAATGTTTTCTGGTGGCTTAACCCATGAAGATTGGTTTCTCCCTCACATCACAACCCAATGCAGACAGCCACTGGGGAACCTGGATCCCCGGCCATCTAGTGGTACCTCCATCTTTTAGAGCCCTAACAATGTCTTGTTAATTATCCTTTTGAATGACAGAAAATTAAGCAAAGAAGAGCAGTCTGCTTACCATGTAGTCTGAAACAGTGAAGAATAGGACAGGAAGACAGAACACAGCATCCCATACAAATATGTTGTAAATGTTTGCGCACAGGACTTTATCTTGGGATGGACAGAGGACAAAAAAAGTTACTCAGTGTCAAGCTCTGAGCTACCTCCAATGATTTCCTCTCAGACACCAGTAATGAACTCTTCAGATACTTCTCCCAGAGATCCCTGAAGTCCAGTTTATAACCAGGCCAATAACTCACTTTTGATCTCTGAAGCCACTTGTTCAATTCTCTTGACTACAGGGCCCAAATCAGTTGCTTATTATTTATAGCAAGTCTAAAAAATGTCATCACAAGCTGTGGTCAGCTCCAAGGATGGCAGCTGGTATTCTCATAACTCCTACATGGGCAATGGCCAAGTTTTTCAAAAGATTCATGCACATCAAATGTATACAGATGGTTAATTTAAAACCATTTTTTCCAGCAATACTTATTAAGCATCTAATTTGATAAATCACTTGGAGGCTGCGGGATATACAGAAATCTTCAGAAATCACACATGAGCAGGAGACTCAGCAATCTGAAAAATATTTAAGCAAAATCATCTACCAAAAAAATATTTGTAATATATATTAGTCCTCATGTAACCTGGGGCCAATCAGCTAACTTCTCTGGAATACCAGTTTTCTTACTTTATGCAACAAGATTTTATTCATTCAATAAACAGTAGAACAAGGTTAAAGACTGGTCCTGAAATCCTATAGACCCTGGATAGATTGTTGATGTGGGTATTCGGGCCTCAGTTTCTCATTTGTTGCCATGGGAATATTAGTGAATCCTTAGAGGCAGGAAGATTAAGTCATTTCCTTAAACCTCAAAACATAGTGCCTAGTAACTTGTAAGTGGTCAATACTTGTTGACTGTTTTCATTTTCCTTACTGCTGATGAAAACCATACTACACGGGTACTGTAAAAAAGACCCACAATACAAAGTAGCATGAAACATGCCAGTCCTCAAGACATTCACTTTGGAAACAGGAAGAAAGTCAACAGCAGTTTGTAATGAAACAGGGGTAAGGGCTCTAAGAGTTTGTACCAGCTGCCAAGAGGCACAAAGAGGAAGCACCCAATTCTCCCTGTGGAAAGAGGTTGGGATCCACTGAGCAGCTGCAAGAGACCAGTAGAACTAGATGTCTAAGAATGCTTCAAGTCATAACATCATAAGTTTTTCAAACTGTTGTTCTAAAATTTCACAGGTATGAAAGAAATCCTTTAGCACCCAATATCCAGAGCACATTCATTAATCTTCCATCCAGAAATGCAATCATTAATTACAGCTGGACACCCTTCTCCCACAAAAGAAAAATCCCTTAACAATGGCACTTCTAGGGGCTGTAAAAAAAAAAAAAAGATTGGGTCCCACTGTTGGCATTCCTGACGCGCCCCTTTCATAGACAGACCACTGGAGGCCAAACTCAGGCCCAGTCAGTGAGGAGGCTCCTCGGGGTCAGACTTTTCATTCGCATTTGACACCGCGCTCCATTTAAATCAGGCGCCAGTGCTAGGTCAGCAGTTTCAGGCGGGTCAAAGGAGAGAAGCCAAACATCGCAGGCGCAATTTCAAAGGCATTGGCGCCCAGCAGGAAAAACGTCTGTGCATGTGCGCCAAAGACTAGCCCAGGAGGCTTCAAGAACCCAGGGTCAGGGGTCCCCAGCAGGGCCCCAGGTGCCCGCCTCTGACAATGGCGTTCCTCGCCCTGGGGCCGCGCCAAGTGCTCGGGGTGCACTGGGGATTCTTCACTCCCAGATTCAGCTTCATGGCTGGGATCTGTTCTTCTGGGCAGAGTACACACGGGAGGATGGTGCGTTCAGTTACGATCGGTAGCAGCAGCTGCTGGGCGCGGAGGCGCGCGCTCCCGGCAGGCGCTCACACCTCGCTCCGGAGGGCGGCGCGCGCTCCGGTGCGCGGGGGCGGGGCGGGGCGCGCACCGGAGACCCGCCCCTGCACCCCGCCCCCTCTGGCGGAGATTGACGGGGCCTGGGCACTCGCCCCAGCCAATGAACGCGTCCCGGGGCGGGCCCTGGAACCAGCGGCAGCGACTACTTAAGAGTCCTCCGCTGGGCTGCACGAAAGCAGAATAGAGTCTGGACTGCCCAGGTGGAGCCGGCGCCCCTGCCACCGCCGACAGGCAGGCGCACGGGCACCGCGCCGGGGATCGCACCGCACCGATCCGCGCGGGGCAGAACTGAGCCGCAGCCTCGCTCGCCGCCCAGGACCCGCTCGTCACCACCACCTCCGCGGCACCCATGGGGACCAGGAGACTTTAAAGGAGTTTGGGGTTTCAGGAGCAGGGAAATCACGGGTACGAAGAGGCGGTTTGCTTTGCTTTGGAAACGTGTGTTCTTCGTCCGATTGTTTGGACCCTGTGCCGGGTAGGAGGGAGAGGGGTCTTTTGGCTGCAAGTGGACCTCGTCACAGAACCCACACCCGCACACATGCACCCCGCACCGGCTTCCCCATCCTCCCCTCGCCTCTTTGTTAGGTTATTTTAGACAGAGCAGCCTCGCCCTGGCGCAGCCAGATTGATTCGGCTGGCGGGGGGGGGGGGGGGGGGAGTGGGGGGGGCGCAATAGAACTCAGGGGCAGAGTGCACCTGCCTGTGTGGGCAGGTGTGCCTGGGAGCATGGATGTACGTGCTCGGGGGAGCGTGCAAGCGTAGGGTTGGAATTGTGTGCGAAGGTGGGGGTCCGAGTGTGTCGTTGCGAAGGTTTGTCATTGTGTGTGCATGTGACATTACCACACCAGTGTACCAGCCTGTCAGCGTCTGGACTCCCAAGTGTGCAAAATTTTGCTGGTGTCAAGCGAGTGCCTGTGATGTGTGCAATTGTCATTATGCGAGGCGCTGTCGGGGAGTGTGATCTAGTGTAAAACTGAGTGGTGGGCTGGGGAAGGTGGGGACTGACATGTGAGCGCAGCTTGCTCCAAGCTCTGGGACCAGAGGCGTCCCTTCCTTCTCTCAGCCCAGCCTCCGTCCTTTCCCGGGTGTCCTGACTCCCACGCTGCCCCAGCCCACCTGTCCTTCCCACCGGGACCCCGCGCCCTCCAGCCCTCCTGCCTTTTCTCTTGCGGGAGTTGGACCCGGGTTCCCTTACAGGGTCTGAGACTGTGTGGTGGCGTCCGGGGACAGGTGGCTTCTGTGCCAGTCCTGGCCCCCCGGCTGGCAAAGGACACTCGGCTGGGACGGTTGACTCGAGGACAGGCGCGCAGGCGGCCAAGTCCCAGGGCCACCGCTCGTCCTGGGGAGGGCCGGGCGCGACTCTGATCGTGTTCTCTGCGTGTCCCCTGTGCTTCCGCAGATCCCCGCTCCTGGCCCTCGCCTCGCCACCTCATTGATGGGCAACCAACTGGACCGCATCACCCACCTCAACTACAGCGAGCTGCCCACCGGGGACCCGTCAGGGATCGAAAAGGACGAACTGCGGGTCGGGGTCGCTTACTTCTTCTCGGATGAAGAGGAGGACTTGGACGAACGCGGCCAGCCGGACAAGTTCGGCGTGAAGGCCCCCCCGGGCTGCGCCCCCTGCCCGGAGAGCCCCAGCCGCCACCACCACCACCACCACCACCTGCTGCACCAGCTGGTCCTCAACGAAACTCAGTTCTCCGCCTTTCGGGGCCAGGAATGCATCTTTTCCAAAGTGAGCGGCGGCCCGCAGGGCGCCGACCTGAGCGTCTACGCGGTCACCGCCCTGCCGGCGCTCTGCGAGCCAGGCGACCTGCTGGAGCTGCTGTGGCTGCAGCCCGCGCCGGAGCCGCCCGCGCCAGCCCCGCACTGGGCCGTGTACGTGGGCGGCGGGCAGATCATCCACCTGTGCCAAGGCGAGATCCGCCAGGACAGCCTGTACGAGGCGGGCGCGGCCAACGTGGGCCGGGTGGTGAATAGCTGGTACCGCTACCGCCCCCTGGTGGCCGAGCTGGTGGTGCAGAACGCCTGCGGCCACCTGGGTCTCAAGAGCGAAGAGATCTGCTGGACGAACTCGGAGAGCTTCGCCGCCTGGTGCCGCTTCGGCAAGCGGGAGTTCAAGGCGGGCGGGGAGGTGCCGGCCGGCACGCAGCCCCCGCAGCAGCAGTACTGTCTCAAGGTGCACTTGGCTGACAACAAGGTGCACACGGCCCGGTTTCACAGCCTGGAGGACCTCATCCGCGAGAAGCGCCGCATAGACGCCAGCGGCCGCCTGCGGGTGCTCCAGGAGCTCGCCGACCTCGTGGATGCCAAATAGTAGCAGTAGCCTGGAGGGGAGAGCCGCCCGCCCCTCTGGTCTTCTGGCTCCTGGCTCCTCCCCAGCCCCTCGGGCTCCAGGACGGCGATTCACCATCCCTGCCCCCCGTTAAGTGGCCGCCGGGAGCGGCCAGCGCCCCAGGTGGCAGCCTCAGCCTCGCACCTCTCTGGCGATGGCAGAAGTCCCAGGAACTCTCCCGGGGACCCAAAGGGCGGTGAGCCCTCGGAGGAGTCCCCTAAGGGTGGTGATGGTGTTGGGAGACCCAGCGTGCGCCGCCCGCCCCCTCCTTGGGTTGTAAGCGGGGATTGGAGAATGGGCCCAGGGGAGCAGGGACCAGGCCTTCCCCGCGAGCAGGGGTCAGGCCTTCCTGACCCTCGATCACTCCTAGAAAGGGACCTTCACCGCGCCCCAAACGTGCACAGACAAGGCTGGTGGGAGGTGAGCATCGAGCGTACCAGGGCACCGATCCGTTCCATATGGATGTCTCCCCAGACGGCAGGATTTCCAAGAAATCGAGCCTGTCCCTTCTGTACTTGTGAATAATTGCACAAGAGAGCACTTCGGGATGCCGGGTTACCCCGAGGCCGCCCGGGACTCTTCCAGCTATCCAGCCCCGGGCCTCCTGACATTGTTATCCCAGGCTCCGGGCTAAACTAGAGTTTGCCTCCCGACCTTTCCACCCAGGGAAGCGAACGCCACTCCCCACCCGCATCCGCCTGTGAGTCTCCCTTGCTGGCAGAAGGAATGCCTTCCAGGTCCAGGGAGGTTGAAGGCGCAGCTCTTTTAGGAGGGCCGGTCCCGCCCCCCCACCCCGGACGAGGGGAAGGTTCGCCAGGTGTCAGCGAATTGAATTTGTCAAGAAGGTGCTGTTCTCAACCCTAGATGGCTCCCTCCTAGGGCTGCGTTTCCAAAATAACCACATTTTTAAAGGGGTTGGAGGAGAGGGAGGGGAAGACATGGCAACATTCCAGAAACCAGCATTGTTCCAGCACCATAGCCGGTACATTTCGTTTGGCTTGTCTATAACAGAAATCTCAGAAGGTGGGGAGGTGGAAATCAAGTTTTAAAAGTAGAAAGAGCAGTTTTCCAACTTTGTCAACAAAGCCGATCGTGTTGATGTTTTTTATTGACCATTTTAGCAACATGCTAATAAAATTTCAAATTGAAATTTTTATTTTCATGGCTTTAATCCATGATAGCTTAAATACTGGGGGCCATTAAGAGTGGATTTAGCTAAGAGCTTAGCTAACATTGCCTTTTCACTCTATTTTTCTCAAACCTTATGAGAATTCTGTTTTTGTATATTGTGGTTCATTTTTTTTTTTTTACTTTAAGGGCAACCTAAGTAATGGTGGAGTTTTTAATCAGTGTGTATATTGTGATGAACTTCTGTCAGTTAAGGGGTGTACTGCTTAGGTGGAAATTGATAGGTTCCATGGTGTTAATTTCTCCTTGTTGTATACCACTACCATCCCATATTTGCATTTTTTGTTTTCTTCATTTCCCCTGATCTTCTGAAAAAAAAAAATGAATGTAGAATTGGCGGCTTTCCCCCCTCTCCTCTTTAGCCAGTCCCACAGTTTATTCCTGAAAACTGGAGAGAACTTCAAGGATCAGGAGGAATATATGGTTTTCAAAAAAGTAAGGTTGTTTGAAACCCCTTCCTTGGGCAAGGACTTACTAACTTCTCTCCCTGTGCCGCAGCCCCGTCTGATTAACTTGTTACTTGACTCAGTGTGTGTTAGACACACCTCCAGCATCTATTTCCCTTTCAAGGGAATTTGTCAAATAACAGTGTTTAGCTAATTGTTGCAAGCAATCACATACTGACAGCTGTGATTTAGTTGGACAGCAAATATTATGGCCAAAGCCAGTTTCTTGGCATTTCAAAAACAATGCAATAAAAACTAGTCGAGGTTAGTTGAGACTGGAAATGCATTTTTTTTTTTTTCTTCATGGTAAAATGATTCATCTCTGTTTTGTTTTTTGGTTTTCAGCCTGGATTCATTCCCTGATCTTGAGTCAAAAGGTCAGATCAATGAACTATGAACTAGAGTATTTTTCTTAAGCCTATTGAGTGATTTATTTTTTAAAAAATGTTTAAACGCCTATGCTTTTCTTTCAGCACATACAACAGCAAGACTTTTGTAATAATGAACTTATCTTTGCATGTATGGAGAACTGAAAATCATTTATTTCCCTTATTCCCCTTTCAAATAACAGATGGTGGATCCTAAATCGAAATTCTATATTGTATCTACACAGCCCACATTCTTTACTGTGTCCTACTGTATCTTGGCTCTCTGCTGTATTAAATACTATCCTAAGCACTTGTTCAACCAGGACTTCTTCTTGACAGTTTTGTCTTACACCTGTCACTCAGAGCGCCGGGCTTTAGCAAAAGAAACAATGGTCTCTCACACTTGATACTAAGATATATTTTCTCTGATGGCATAGAATCTGATTTTGCTCTTAATAAGAGGGTCACTAAAACAGAGGAATTCCTTAGCTTGCTACTCACTGACATTAGTTTAGCAATACAAATGGGTTTGGCAGCCAAACTAGCACTCATGACAATGTTGGTCTATTAAGGATTGGGCTGATGATACTTCTACAGAGTCACAAGAGAAAAACACTAGTTTCAAAGGGAACTTGAAGGTCTGTGTATTCTTCACATTCCTACTGAAATAATTATTACCTATTGGTCAATGTTAATAATAACCAGTGGCAGAATAATTCCAGTTGTTGTATAGCACGAAGAGGCTGTTATCAAGACATTAGCTAATATTTTATGCTGAAAATGTGTCTATTTTTAGAATGTTCTTAATGGGAATGACACCAAGAAGGTGGCATTTCTCTTGGAAGATAGCACCAACAGACTTGATTTTTTTTTAATAAATGAATATAATATCTCTGGATGTTATCAGAATTATAGAAATTAAGCCAAAAAGCCTCTTGACATTTTAATAGAAGTCAGGAATTTAGTTTGGCTTTTAGTTTTCTTCAAGAGAACAGAACTTCATAGCAATATTCACAGTGTTAAGTGTGGCTGAGCTGGTCGTTGGTCCTGTCAGTGATGTGGTTTAGAAGACAACTATCTTTTATCTTTTGACCCCCCTTCTTTCTCCACTTTCAGAAGGTTAGAAAAGCAAATAACTAAAAAAAAAAAAAAAAAGAATATTTTTACTTCAAGGAGTGCTTTGCTACATATTTTGTAACTAAGAAAAAAAAGAGCCTGGAATGGGGAGAAGGGAGGCTACTGCTGCAGCTAAGTCACTTCAGTCGTGTCCAACTCTGTGCGACCCCATCCCTGGGATTCTCCAGACAAGAACACTGGAGTGGGTTGCCATTTCCTTCTCCAATGCATAAAAGTGAAAAGTGAAAGTGAAGTCATGTCTGACTCTTTGGGACCCCATGAACTGCAGCCTACCAGGCTCCTCCGTCCATGGGATTTTCCAGGCAAGAGTACTAGAGTGGGGTGCCATTGCCTTCTCTAGGCATACTTTAAACAAACCAGTCCTGAAACACTGTTATTCCCAAAGTATATCTCTTTGTTTAAAAAAAAAAACTTGTAGAAGTTACACATATTGCATTTTTTTAAAAAGTATATTATTAGCCTATATATATAAAGTTCCTCAATATTTAAAAATTTTAAATGCCTGTCATGACTGTATTTTATTAACTGAAGCAGTCAAAGTTAGAAAACACTTGTGTCAGATTAGAACATCAAACACAGAGGCAGCTGTAAGTTCAATGTGACCTGATTTTACTAGATTTTCAGAATTTTGATGTTTCCTTCCTCTTTGTATCATGATTCTGTGGTGAATGCTCTTGTTTGAAAATGATTCTTTTTCCAGAAAAGTATGCTATTGGTGTTGTAATCAGTTTATCCTAACCATCTTCCAATATTACCTTATTGATTATGTGGTGTGTGTGCTTTCAACACCCCTAAGAATTCATTGTCATTCGTATCTAATAAATTTAGCAGGGTCAAATTTCAGTGAAATTGATATTTACTGTGCACACATAATAGAGCTCCCTAATTTACTTTTATCTACTTGTCTATTTTTGAAACCTTCTGCTTTCTCTTTTTTTAAACAAATGAAGAGATGTAGTTAGATGTGCCTTTCAGACATGATTTGCCACATGCATAAAGGGACCACAAGTGAAAAACACAGTGCTTTCAGGTTTCTGGAAACATCAGGAACTGTATTTAGAAAATTGTTGTCTGAGACCCAACTCAATATTTTTGTTGAGAATTGCTAGCTATTTGGAGAATATATGTAGATATAGAGATATATTGACATATTCACATATGTATACATGTACACATTTATATATATGTGCACCTCTGCATATGTGTACACATATATGTAAATTTATACAGCTAGCTAGAAATTGTGATTTCATTTGGAGATATAGATTTATACACCTATACATATATGTAAACGATTTAAAATCAAGATGGAGAGTGACTTGAGATCTACAAAAACAGTAAGAAAAGTTCCAGGGTGCAAAATAGATAATGAGGAACTGGGACATCAATGCAGCTCTGCCTAAAATGAAGCATAAACAAAAAGAAGAAAATGTGGGAGCTGCAGTTAGTCTCACTTTTAGAAGCCTATGTTCCTTGCTTCCCTAAAACTGACAAAGACTCAAAGGAAAGCTGTAAAGATTAGAAAAAAGAAGACACAAGATGAAGCTGAGGGGTTATGAGATGATAAAATAAGCTAATAAGCTTTTCAGCAGGGAATATCTGGTCTCCATTCTAACTGAAGATAGGCTAAGATCTTATTTTCTGACCAATTTCATAAATTATAAAATCTCCAATTTCCTGACTTACAGGTTGAATGTTTACCTCATCTGAACTTGCAATGTAAGAGATTTAAGCCTGTGAATATGTTAGGGAAAAGGAAAAATAGTCTTCTCTGCTCTTTTTGTAGGTGAGTTTTGTGATTATTGTATTCATGGACAGCACCCAAATAAACACACTGTGCGCTTGGCACCTAGTAGCTGCTCAGTAAGTAGAAAACACCTTACACTGTTCTCAGTGATATTGATCACTCGGAAAAGCAGAATGCTACCACCTGGCTTGCCAGCTACCATACACATGTTGCACGCGTGTGTGTATGTTCAGTCACTTCAGTCGCGTCCAACTCTGTGCAAGCCCATGGACTATAGCCTGCCAGGCTCCTCTGTCCATGGGGAGTCTCCAGGCAAGAATACTGGAGTGGGTTGCCATTTCCTCCTCCAGGGGATCTTCCCAACCCAGGGATTGAACCCACATCTCTTATGTCTCCTGCATTGGCAGGGAGGTTCTTTACCACTAGTGCCACCTGGGAAGCCTATATTTCTTAAACTGAAATTGGAGGGTTTCCCACCTCAGAGGGCTTCCCTGGAGGCTCAGCCAGTAAAGAATCTGCCTGCTGTGCAGGAAAACTGGGTTCAAACCCTGGATCTGGAAGATCCCCTGGAGAAGGGAATGGCTACACACCTCAGAAAGCTCACAGAAATGTAATTTATGAGGCTTAAGGCTGATTTTAGTTAAAGGATATTCTGCATATTATTTGTTTCTAGGGAAAAAAAATTATACCTATCAAAGAATCCAAAGAAAAGATCTTCTCTTATCATTTGCTTGGAAAGGTGAGAGCAAAACTAATTCTGAGAAAAACTTGCACAGCTTCATCTCTGTGGATGAAGATTTTTGTATGTGGATGAGAGATTTTTCTCATACAAAACCACAAAATCATTCCTTCAGAAGGAAGCTTATTATTGAAGCTCTTGCTAGAAATTTTCTTCAGATCTGCAGGGGAAAAGCTACAAAATTGTTAGTTTAACTCTCTGGGAAAATTAGATTTGATGGCGTTTGGTCATGGGTACTTTTCTAAATGAACATTACTCATATATTAACATTTACAAATAATTGCTCTGCCCGTTGGCTTTCATAATCCAATTATTTTTGTTTTTATGTGAACATGAGTTCCGAGCTTAATTTGTTTCAAAGGGGAGAGGCTTTATAAAATATTAGGTGTGGATAGAGCCAATATCCTAAATTTTAAGCGTAAAATACATGTTTCAGAAGTTAGTGTGATCTACATTCCATGTTCCAAAAAACAGAAAAGATTGTATAAAGCTACTGCTTCCTTAGGAAATTCTTGCCATCAATCTATAATACAGACATTAATGTTCTATTCAGGCCACAGTAGGAAACATGCGGTCTTCTTTATTATAAGTATTCTGGTATTTGATTTAACAAATACATTATTCTTCTAAAATTCAAACTTTCTCCCTCCAACAGTCTTGCAGCATGCCTGCTCTTTGCTCGGTGCCAAGCCCACTGTTTTCAGATTCTCCTGGGGAATGAGGAGATCTGGCCATGATTTTGTAAATCATCCTCCAGCTTCTAACAGCACGCACTTTATTTCATCCTGCCTTCTGCTTCTCAGCGGATGTGTTTGCCCAGGTCTGAGCCAGAGAGTGGCTAACCAAGAATAGGGTTGCCTCATTTTACAAATAAAAATATAGGCCACTCAATTCCTTTTGAATTTCAGGTAAGAGGGGAACAATAATTTTAGTATAGGTACGTCCCATGTACTGTTTGGGATATTGTTGTTATTGTTCAATCCTAAGTCATGTCCAACTCTTTGAGACCCCATCAACTGCAGCACTCCAGGCTTCCCTGTGCTTCACTATCTCCTGGAGTTTGCTCAAACTCAAGTCTGTTGAGTAGGTGATGCCATCCAACCATCTCATCCTCTGCCACCACCTTCTCCTCTTGTCCTCAATCTTTCCCAGAATCAGGGTATTTTCTAATGAGTCTGCTCTTCGGGTCAACTGGCCGAAGTATTGGAGCTTCAGCTTCAGCATCACTCCTTCCAATGAATATTCAGGTTTGATTTACTTTAGGATGGACTAGTTTGATCTCCTTACTGTCCAAGGGACTCTGAAGAGTCTTCTCCTATACCACAGTTCAAAAGCATCAATTTTTTGGCACTCATCCTTCTTTATGGTCCAACTCTCATACGTACATGACTACTGGAAAAATACTTATACTAAAAATGACCTGTTTATCTGAAATTCAGACGAAGCTGAATGTCCAGCATATTATTTGACAACCCTCCTCAGGGAAGACCTTACCATCTCTAGGAGACCTCTGCAATTTTAGAGCTGACAAAGGATACATCCCCTACTCATATCAAGGAAGTCTTATCAGATCACTCATGTGTCTTTTAAGGCCAAAGCCAGATTCAGGTCCAGAAACTAGCACATAGTCTAAGAAAAACCTCAGAAGGAAGAGTTCACAAGGTCTCTAATCATTGAGAGAGTTGACTGTGCGAATGGGGATGGGGGAGTGTTTCCTGTGTCTCTATTCTTCTATTCTTTTGATAATAGAACATGACATCCTTTATGTTGGGGGTATGATGAATACTTTCCCAGACACAATCAGAAATATTCTACACCACTGTTTTTAATCACACCTTCTACTAATCCAATCTGGGTCCTTACCTTCCACCTGGCTATTTCCTAGCTTCCCCACCTGTCTCCCCCACTGGCTGTTCTATCCAAACACCTACAGCCATGATATTCTTTCTCATCAGAGACCCACTGCTCACAAGATGAAGGCCAAGGTCCTATACAGCAATCAGGGTGCTCCGTGGTCCAACCCCTGTGGACGACCAACTGCATTTCTCTAAACTTGCAGAATTTTACAGAACATGGAGTTTTCATTCACTCTTCCATGACTTTCTATGTTGTCCCCCTTCCCCTGATTGCCATCCATGATTTCTGAATGGAAAATCCTTATTCACCCACCCTTCCTGGCCTATCTCCAAACTACCCCAGCATGATTTCGGTCATTTCCTTTGTTCCCAGTGAATTTGCCTATACCTCCCGCAGACTCACCTCTACTGCAAATATTGTTTACACTTGTCTCTCCCTACACTGAGCTCTGTTGGAGTAGACCAGGGACTCATTCTTGCAACTATAGAGTTAAGTCAAGCTCTTAGATAGGTGCTCAGTTAGCTTCTACTATATAAAGGGAAGAAGTGGGGAAGGGAGGAGAACTGACTCCTCCACAGCATATGAGTAGAGAAGGGATGGCAACCCACTCCAGTACTCTTGCCTGAAGGATTCCATGGACAGAGGAGCCTGGTGGGCTACAGTCCGTGAGGTCGCAGACGGCTGGACACGACTGAGTGGCTGGCACTTTCACTTTCTAAGTTTATGAGGCATCCTGCCCACCAGCTTACTACGAACCAAACCACAGGAGGAGTGGGCTAAAGATATCTATCAATTTCTATGTGGTTCTCCTTGAGAACCACACAGTAGAAAATTCATCTCTATTTAGAAAATAGGCCAAGATTATGAGGCATCTATACTGCGTTATGAAACATAAAGTGTTAGTTGTTCAGTCAAGTCTGACTCTTTGTGACCCTGTGGACGGTAGCCCACCAGGCTCCTCTGTCCATGGAATTCTCCAGGCAAGAATACTGGAGTGGGTTGCCATTCCCTTCTCCAGGGGACGCTCCCAACCCAGGGATCAAACTTGAGTGTCCTGCATTGCAGGCGGATTCTTTACCCTCTGAGCCACCAGGGAAGCCCTCCAACACTGCATTACATTACTCTACATATGATGGAAGGTTAACCTCCTGTAGTTGAAAAGTGTTCTCTGGACTGGTTATACTGTACAAGCATTTCTCCACGGATGAATTTTGTGTTTCATTATGATGGAAATATAGATTTTTCTCCTCTCGGTAATT